GCGGTTCTACCAGGGTACGGTAGTGACAGTTGCCATATGCTTCCATGTCTATGACAATCGCCATAACAGCTAAACTATACAAATTATGAGATAGGGTCCAAAGAGAGAAAGATGAGGTATGTTTGTTCGAACAAGTTTCCATGAGTTATATATTGCAATATTATAGTATATAAATCTCTTGGTAATCTATTAAATAACAATAAAAACTTATTATTATATATATTAACGAATATTAAGTATTAAAGTTATTAAAGTACCAAATTTAATTATTATGAAACTGTTGTATCTTGTGTAGCACTTTATAAAACACTATCTACGACTTGAATAAAACGGCAATGAATGTCACTAAATAAATTAAAGCGACAGAACTAATTATCTTACGGTCAGTCTGCCTCTATTTATTAGACCGTCTGTAATCGTTACAAATGTCCAAGCCAGGCGATTCCTACGTTGTTGCCATCGAGCAAAAATAAACCCTAAATAAAAAAAATACCTTGAAAGGTCGGAAAACTTATAGAGGAAATAAATATTTGCTCGGGGAGATAATTATTGATTTAATTGGATTACTTGTGATGACAATAATTGATAAAACAGAGGCAATTATTGAACAAAAATGAATAAAATGTAATTAACTGATCTATAAATAGTAAAAAGCAATTACGTGATAAAACAAGAACGTTTTTATAAGTGTTATAAGATAACACCCACCCATGGTGTAATGGTAAAGCTCACGGATTCGTGGGGACGGAGTTCGAACCTCGCTCTGGACAACCTGATATCATGCAGCATTGACGTGCATTTTCACTTGAAAATATATATGATCTTATATGAAAGTTATAATATCTTTACAATTGAAATAGCCCATTTCGGGCACTGTGGTATGAAATGGCAATGGAAAATTTATAAGTATTACAAGATAATGGAAATCAATGTAATAAAAAATCAATGTGGTAAATTGTTAGGTGACTAAATTATTGCATTTTTCTACTCCTAGTCTATCTAAAAAATGATTGTAAATAAAAGAAATTTTAATAACTTGATCTATATTGGATGCAAGTATGTAAAGTACCTTTTAGTAAAAGAAGGACATATATAAATCAATATGAATAATCAATAAAAATCAATGTGCCAAATTGTTTGGTGATTCAAATATAGAATTTCTCGAATCCTAGTCTATAACTTGCTATATTTAGTTGAAATGCGTTGAATAATTTAAAATTTATTGATAATAAATGAAATTTCAATATCTTGATATATACTTGATGAAAGCAAGTAAAAGGCCCATTACTAAAAGAAGATAAATTATAAGTATTAAAACAAAAATGGAAACTAGTTGGTTTGGTATTTAGCCTTGAGGCAAATTACATGAACTTCCCGATATGTGTAAATAATCGACTTGATCAAAAAAATGTGTAAATAATATACTTCATCAATCCTACTTTAAAAAAAACGATAATAATTTTAGCAAAGTTTGACGAATTTTTAAAATTAAACTACTTGTTGTAAGGCCGTAATATTACAGTAAGTTCTATAACACCATGATGTATATCGCCAAAAAAAGTTCCATGAAAGAAGGATTAAATTTTTTTTTTCAACAGTTAATTACAAGAAAACGGCTCGGTAGATTTTCACCTAAAATTAATCAGTATCATTCCCAAATGATATCTTTCGAACAGTTTTTGATTTTTCAAAATCGGTTCGGTAGGATGAGCTTAAATGTGGACGAAAATTTAACACTTTTTTTCAACAGTTAATTACAAGAAAACGGCTCGGTAGATTTTCACATAAAATTAATCAGCATCATTCCCAACTAATATCTTTTGAACAGTTTTTGATTTTTTAAAATCGGTTCGGTAGGATGAGCTTAAATGTGGACGAAAGTTTAACACTTTTTTTCAACAGTTAATTACAAGAAAACGGCTCGGTAGATTTTCACCTAAAATTAATCAGCATCATTCCCAACTAATATCTTTCGAACAGTTTTTGATTTTTTAAAATCGGTTCGGTAGGATGAGCTTAAATGTGGACGAAAATTTAACACTTTTTTTCAACAGTTAATTACAAGAAAACGGCTCGGTAGATTTTCACCTAAAATTAATCAGTATCATTCCCAAATGATATCTTTCGAACAGTTTTTGATTTTTCAAAATCGGTTCGGTAGGATGAGCTTAAATGTGGACGAAAATTTAACACTTTTTTTCAACAGTTAATTACAAGAAAACGGCTCGGTAGATTTTCACCTAAAATTAATCAGTATCATTCCCAAATGATATCTTTCGAACAGTTTTTGATTTTTCAAAATCGGTTCGGTAGGATGAGCTTAAATGTGGACGAAAAGTTTTTTCGAATTACAAAGAAACGGCTTGGCAGATCGTTGCACAAAACTGACAAACGATAGTCCTCACCGAAACACATCAAATGGCTTTTAAATTTCTAAAATCGGTTCAGGCGTTTTTGAGAAAACGTCGATCAAAAGTCTAATTTTGACAAATGCCAAAAAGACCATACTGATTTTTGCAAACTTTGACTAATTTTTAAAGCTGAACCAGTTGTCGTAGGGCCGTAATATTTTAGTATGACCTAGAAAACTATGGTATCTTTCGTCAAAAAAATAATCATAAAAATCGTCAAAATTTTTTTTTTAAAAACTTTATTACAAGAAAACGGCCCGGCCGATCTTAACCAAAAACTAATCAGCACGATTCCCAACCAATATCTATCGAACGGTTTTTGAATTTTCAGAATCGATTCAGAATTGCGGGCTAAAACGTGGACGAAAAATTTTTCACTTTTCTGCAATTTACAAAGAAACGGCTTGGCCGATCGCCGCACAAAACTCAGAGACGATTGTCCTCATCGAGATACATCAAATGGCTTTTAAATTTTTGAAATCGGTCCAACCGTTTTGGAGAAAACGTCGATTTACGGCAAAAAATCTGTTCACACACACACACACACACACATACACACACACACACACACACACACACACACACACATACTTTTTCCAAATTTGGTCTCATTCGATTCAGAATGGCTCGAAACGTCGAGAAAACATAAAATTAGCGATTCGGATTTTTTGATGAAAACATAAACTTCTCCTTCGGGAAGTTAATAAAATTAATGAAAAATTGATATTCCAAATTGCTTAGTGATTCAATAATAGATCTTATTCCTGATCTATTTAGTCTATATATTTATTTATTTTTATTTATTCATAAGAAAGCCGTCATCAATAATAATAGATATTATTTCAGGCTCTTGTTAATTTAGTTGAATTGTACTAAAAAGTTTGAAAATTATTAAGAAAAAATGAAGTTCTAATAACCTGATCTATAAATGGTAAAAAACTTGATGACCCAATAATATTCTTCTTCTATTTCTAATTTCAATTTTGTTAGAATTGGTTAAATAATTTAAAAATTATTAAATGCCCAGTTGATCGACCTTCTTCAATATGTAGTTTATCATTATCAGAAAATACTGGTTAGGTATGAAAATTACTTATTTTTTCTAACAATTTTAAAACATGTGAAGCAATTAATTCTTATTCAACTGAATATATATATATTTTATCATTATATAATAATTAATATTTAATTAAAATGTCTAAATAAATTATTTCTATTTAAATAAGAGCATAACACCCCAGAACAATGTCTGAAACATATTTCGTCTAAGATTGTTTACATAACCATTTAGTTTCGAATTTACACTATTCAAAAGTCGTTAATAATATTTACAAATATTGTTATTTGAATATTAAACTCCATCATTATTGTAATTCGATTGGTACAAATTATTCATTGTTAATGAGTGTAATGTTTAATAACAATTGCAAGTTTGAAATTAAAAGAATACTTAGAAATAAGAAACTGTATCTTATTCAAATCCATTTGGAAATAACATTTTTAATATTTTGTATTAAATTTACTTACACACACACACACACACATATATATATATATATATATATATATATATTCATTTTTAAAATATTATTTGAACATACCCAATAAATTTAAAACAGATAAAATTAACTGTCAAAAATTAGCTTCAATAATTAAAAAAAAAAAGATTTTTTTAGCGGTTTTAATTTAACTTCCTTTGCACAGGAAATAACTATAAATAATTTAAACCGGAATTATATACAAATATGACATTTAATTAAGCAACTTCAGGATGTTTATGTTTTTAAATTTAAATTGCATATATAATCAAAATCTGAGATATAAAAGCAATATTTTTTCGATATTTAATCAGAATCCCATATATAAAATTTGTGTGAATTAAAACAAATAAAATTTTATGCGTAAATATAAAAATATATATTCTAACAACCTTTTTGAAGCCAATATATTATTTTCAAGATATTATTTAAAAAAAAATATGATTGATAAAAAAACTAATTTACAATACCATTGTTGTGTTGATTCTGTCACTCCCTCACAGAATGGGCGGCGTGGAAATTTAAACAAACATGCCAAAAATTCAGCACGTAAATATGCGAATGTTTCGAAAATAGAATTCTAAAAATATTTCTTTATGGCACTTTGAATCACTGACCTAACAATTCACATTAGAATAATTGTTTCAATAAGAATCCCTTTATTTTCCACTATTTTCACTGCGCGCCTCGAAGTACGTCAAATCACCCCGAAATCTCAACTCGTATTGATTGTCATGCGGGAAGGGTTGGCAAACATGGCGCTAGGGACGACAAAAGGAAATAACATTACATTTTTAGACAAAATTATTTTTGTCCTATAATTTACTAACGAATCTGGAGAAAGTATATAATTTTTTGTATTTTAGCTATAATAGTTTGAGAATATTATTGGATATCTTTATGCAAGATTTGAACCATTTAAACTCAATGTAGTTGGAATAATTTGCTGAAGATGTCACTAGCCTCGATAAGTAAATTTTTGACTTATAGGCATCATGGCTTACACAGCTATTATTTTATATTAAACCTTCTTTAGTTCACAATAAATATATTACTAAATATATTTTGAATTGAATTTATTTATTTACGATTCAGTTAAGAAATTACTATTTTTTCACATTGAATTTGATATGTTTCGTCTGATCGTTATTTAATGACAAAATATTATTAATTTTAACACAATGGATAGCTATTTGGTTTATGAGGCTAAAAGAGTTAAATGCAGCAAGCCTCTCCATATTGGCCAAACTTTTGTAGATTTATACGGCTCATTTTTAGCTGATGATGCAAGAGGAGACATTACACCTGTAAATGAAACTAAACAAAATCAAATACAAAATTGTTCACAATACTATAATAAATTTATATCTTCTGAAGAACTGGAAGATTTGGAGAGAAGGTGCAATCCAGATCTGCTTAAATCTGATAGTGATCCAAAAAAAATTAAATTTGAAATTTATAAAGCACGAAAATTATATTCTCGCCAAGACCCAGACCCTGATGCAAAATTGGAAACATTGAAACACTTCAAAAAATTTATGGATCTGGTTGATAATACAAATAAAAATGTTCTTCTAACAGCAGAAAGATATTTAAAGTATAGAAGTGTTGTATCAGTAGGAAATGAGCGTTGTGAAGAATCTATTTCTCATAGTTATTCTCCAATAATTACAATTAGATCCCATTATCCATTTAGGCATGAACTTAGGAAGAAAAATACAAGAGGAGTTCCAAAGTTAGACAGAGAATTCAAGATTTTGGGCACAACAAAATTGACTGAATTTAGAGATGCGTTAAGCTGTCGACAAGATCTTGATACCGGAGAAGAAAAAAGTAAAGATCCAAATAAATCAACAACTCCAGACACTTTAGGCCCAGCACTCTTCTATATCAATGGTAACATTTATTAGCTTTTTTTCTCAATTATAGTTCACATTTTAATTTCCTTTTCACAGGCATAATATATATAGATGATAGATACCCGTATGAAGATGGTTTCGATTATACAGATAGTCTAAAGGACTGGGGCCTTCGAAAGGGAATGGATGTTCGAGTTTATGATATGAGCACTTTTTGTTTCAATGATATTTACATGAGGCTAGGATACCCAAATTTATATCAACATAGAGGCTGTTGTGAACATCTATTCGTTTTTAGCGACATAGAATGTACACCTAGCAAAATGTTTCATTCAGTTACTCAATATAATTATCCATTAGTTTCTGCAATATATTTGGATTATAAAACATACTGCATGATGTGCTTTAGATATATGGGTTCATGGGTAACATTAAATAGTAAGAGAACAATGACTGAAGAAATGTTATGGTGTGCAAAATGTTTTTGGAGATTTAATTATACTGAAGATCACAAAAAAATAGGTGAATTTCATGCTTATAAATATTTTTCATAATAATATATTAGCTGATTGCTATCTTGCAATATATTCATCAATCACATGGCCATTATATATATTTGTACATTGATGCTATCTGTATAATAAAAAACTTTAATTTATGACAACATTGTAAATATTTTCATATCACAATTATCTGAGAAAGTCATAACATACCTTAAAATAATTTATTTTGATTGAATTTATAAAAGAATCTAATATTACCATTACAACTTATTTCAATCTAATTCATTCAGTTCTTGAAGTTTTTCTTGCAACTCTTGATATTTTCTTTGTAGCTGTTTCTCCCTTTCAGTTTGTCTTTGAACGTCTTCAGTTAGAGACTATAAAAAATGTATAAGAAATAAACATATTAATTTATAAGAAAAAAATTTTGTTTACAAATTTAACAAACCTCCATCCTTCTGGGTATGGCAGCTTTTTCTTGTGTAGCCAAAAATTTGAAGGTAGATAATTCTAAGGTGGCCTGTTCAGTTTGGTCATAAACCTCTTGTAAATGTTTTAATAGACCTTGTGCCCGTGCCTGATAACCGCCAGTTAAAATCCTTATTTTTTTCTCCATTTTTGCACAATATTTAGCTTCACGTGCCATATGTTTCCGATTTTGTTCTAATCTTTTTTCTAATGATTCCAATCTATCTTTTTTACTGGCTAAATTTGCTCGGGTATATCTATTTTGACTAGGTAGGTACAAAACCTAAAAATAAAAATATCAGATTAATATATGTTTAGAGAATATTTTCAGTAGGTCTATATAATTAGTATTTGTTTTCACTATTCAATGGATGGTTATAAGAAATTGGTATGATCATTAAAAACTCTATACAATTTATTTACTTGTGCTAAGCATTCTTCCCAAACTTGAGTGTATGCTTCTAAAGATAACTCTCCATGACCCATGCCATTCTTGACAACTTCAATTTCTTTTTGAAGTAATTTTTTAGAATGAGCAATCTCTTCATCGCTAAATTTTTCATATGGGTGCTGCTCCAAATATGATAATTGTTGGGCATGTGCCAATGTTGATTTCTTTGCTTGAGCTGTAATTGGCATAAGTTAAAAAAATTTTAATTAAATTTTTCATCAATATCAAAAAGTTCACCTTGTAATGGGTTATTCACTGCATCATAATGTAACATTGTTATCATTTCTCGTTTTATCAGTTCTTCAGCCTGTTGTAAATCTGTTAAACCTGCACAATCTGCTGATGGTCTCAAAATTAGCATATTTGCTTCTAAAGGTCTTGGCAAATTTCTCTGAATTACTTGTGATCTTCTAGATAATTCTAATTTTTCTATAGAAATCAATTTATATTTAGATTAATAAAAACTGGTGTTGATTATGTCAATTATTTTTAAAAAAAAGTAATTTACGTTTTTCTAAAAGCTCAGCCTGATATCTTGCATCCACATCCGCCTGATCTTCAATCACTGTTTCATTAGACTGCTCTTCTTGAATCTGTTCATCTTCCGGAACAACAATCTCATAATCATTTCTGGGAATAGGTAAAGAACTCAAGCCCGCCTTTAGAGTTGCCTTAATCTGTGAAGTACACATATTTAGTAAATATATTAAAGTCATATATAGAAGTTGCTACTTTAATAGACAAACCTGTTTATTATAATTCTTTAATGCTTGTGGAGTATCTCCTACACTTAAATGTTCTTCTACATTAATATTTAACTTATCTCGAATCATTGATGGAGTGAAATTATTTGTATTCTGAAAATAATTAATTTAATTTAAAACTGTAATATTTCATTCTAAGTGAAACACTTTTTTTAATTAATATATAGTAATTCATATTTATATTACTGTGTGTGCAGCTCCTATAGGAACTAAGGCTCCAGAACCTGGTGTCATAAATCCTGGTGTACTGCCAGGTGTTGCAGAACCATCTGCTCTTGAAGATCTTGAGAGAAATATCAATATCATTAAAAAATCAGCATGTTCAAGGCGATAAATTAAAATTTGAATTAGATATTTACCTAAATGGTGTAGCTAATACTGTATTTGGAGTGGCCACCACTGCCGCTTGTGGAAGTGCCCCAGTAAAGTCAGACATGTGTAATGGAGTGTTGATACCTCCTTTTAAGGGTGTATCAACATGAGTTAATGCCATGACATTTTGAGCCTCTTGTAAAATTCTGTGAAGTACATATGATACATAATAATAATAAAATGCATCATTTATATTTACATATATATAAGTGTGTGTGCTTATATATATATATATATATATATATATATATATATATATAAATATATATATACCTATCAGTTTGTGGAGCTGGCGTTCTTGGAGTTGCAGTAACTTGCTGAGTTAGTGCATAATCTGCTAACAAAGTATCAGTAGTTTCAATTCCACTCTCACTGGCAACTTCTCGAGCAACTTCACTAGCTCGTCCTAATTTAACAACTTGTTGGAGTTCCTGGTCTGATATCTGAGGTTCTGGCAGTACCAGCTTTGATCGCTTTTTAGCCGGTTCTTGATTTTGTAGCATAGCTAAAGGTATATCATTTTCTTTTCTTTGCTTTAATTTTTGTTTATCCTTCTTCCGTTCCCTCTTTAAAAAAAAATGCAATATAATCATTAAGCATTAGCAACATAAGTTCTAGATAACATCAATAATGATATTACCTCCTCCTTTTCTACCCGAAGTTCGCCATCTAAATGTTGCAATCTCATTCTGCTAAAATTTGGAGCCATGGGATCTAATACTTCATTGGATGTGTCATGGAAACCAATTGCTGGACGTTTCTCAAATGGAATTTCTTTATTATAATCCACACCTCGTTTTCTCTTATTTCTATAAATAAATCAATAAAATAACATTTTAGATACTATAGCTAAAATTGATGAAATAAAATGTATTTACCGAAAACCAGAACCAATACCAGCAGCTCTCAACTCCCTTCTTTTTTGTAATGCTGCTAATCTACGTGCTTCTTCTAATTGTTTCTCACGTGCTTTTCTTTTAGCCTTTTTACCCTGTGTATTTGCTAATCTGGCTCTGGCTTCAGACAACATTTCCAATTCATCTTCATCCATATCTTTTGGGTCTGGTCTTGCTGGTTTGGTTTCAGGGTTTGGATCAATTTCTCCAGGCTTAAGCTTACGTGGATCATCGATGCCATCTTCACCATCCTCTTTTTTCTGAGCTTGATCACTAAAAAGAAAAAATAATGCAATAGTTTATGTGTGTTTTTGATTCAATCTGAACTGGTTGTGACTAGTTATATATATTATACAACTTAACAAACTCCTTTTGAAACTTACAGCAAATTTTCATATCGTTCTAAACATTGTGCTGCAGTACGACCAATAATTGGAGCAATAGTTCGCCACTGAGTTGGCATCAATTTTGCCAAATGAAGTAATTTTTCATCTTCTTCTCTTGACCATTCAGTTTTCTTGATACTTGGATCTAGCCATTCAAACCATCTGGCTTTACATTGCTTAGCTGATTTCCTGTGCAAAAGAGATGCTATTCTGGACCATTGATTTTTGCCATATTTCATTACCGCTGCTTTAAGAATTTCATCCTATAATAATAATGAAGAATTACTACAATCCCTATTCAAGTGTTGTTTATAAAACATGTAACAAATAAATTCATAATTACTTCTGTGTTCCTCCAGACACCCCCCTTTATCATAATTCGTGGCATTTTGAATAATTAATTAAAATTAGCTGCTTCAATAATAAAATAAAAATATTCGGTTTAAATTCAGATTGACATCTATTTTTAGGTTACAGGACGCAGATATCGTTCTTAAGTTAAAGAATATATATTAGTTATTATTGGGTATTGTCGGAAATTAATTTCACTATCTATAATTATTAAAAAGCATCATTTATAAATCAATATATAATATTATTAATAAAATATTATTATTCCGCGAAGAACAATATATTATCTAGCTAAAGGTAGCCAAACGACATAAATCAATTCGCGTCTTTATTGTTGGTAACAGTTCAGTTACGACAGTTGCTTTTGATCGCACCAAAATAATAAATTTAAAATTTGTTTTGATTTAGCACGTTCTTTTGGAAGATACTGAATATTTTCACTTTTTGTTTTATTAGAATTTGTTGAATAATTCATAAAAGATTTATTTTTTAATAGTTTTATAATTTTATTTGTTTAAGTTGATTTAGTAAAATATTTTCCATTTTACATAAATTTCATAAGCATTTTAAATCTGCTTTCATTTATAATTATACTGCTG